TCCCATAAATCACTATCATGACCTAGAAATAAAATTTCTAGTCTATCTTTCCAATAATCAAAATCTTCTCCATCAAATACATGAGGTTTGTTGTAACTATTGTTGTTTTGCTCAGTAGCCATTTGTGTTTTCTTCTGGATCTTTTCCTGACACGGTTAAGTGTTGAGCTCAGAGTCAAGCTCTGATACCAATTGAAGGTGGAGAAACCACTTAGAAGGGGGGGGGGGGGGGGGGTTGAATAAGTTTCTCTTTTTCTTTTTCTTAAAGGCACAACAATAATGGAAAGACAAGGTTATTTTTTTCCTGGTTCGTTTGAACTCAAACTACTCCAGTCCACCCGCCAAGGTGATTTCGCCTTTCTCAACAAAGACTTAATCCACTATAATCAACCGATTACAATCACACAACAAATGTTGTGACTAACAATGCATAAGTAACCTTACAAGTGACTCACATCACTAAGACTTAAACTAGTCCTAGTCTACTTGATAATTCTGACTAACCTTGGTCTCTCAAGGAACAATTACAAGATATAAATCTTTACAGATAGTGAAACAAAGTTTGCTTCTAAGAAAGTTATATCACAACTGTGATTTTTCACTAAGAATATTTTAGCACAAAGTGTATGAATAATGAATTTGTGAGCCCAGAATCTTTCACGTAGATTTTGCTTCTTTTTGAATTTGTTCAGTTCTATTCAGAACTTCAATTGTTCAGCCTTTCAGCGTTTCAGTTAAGCAGTGGTTCGGTAGATGGCTTTTAATTAATGTTCTTCTATATATAGCATGAAGAAACATGATCGTTGTTGCCTTCAAATGGAGAGCATTAAATGTTTGCGTGTTTCATTGCACTATTCCATTTTCCAATGCACTAGCGTAGACACTTGAGTGCATGTAGCCGTCTTTGCATTAAATGAGCAAACGGAACTATGTAAGAACATGTCTCCTGAAGCTTTGACAAGACTTGTTAGCTTCTATATTCATTCAAAACTTGGATTCACGTCTTGTATTCAGAATATGCTTGCATATCTTCTAAACAATGCTTTGCTTGCTAAGTACTTCTGATTAGCGCTTGCTTTCAAATATCTTCTGAACAACACTTGCTTTCAAAGAGCTTATGAACAACACTTGCTTTCAAATAGCTTCTGAACAACACTTGCTTTCAAATATCTTTTGAACAGCACTTGCTTTCAAAGAGCTTCTAAACAAAACTTGCTTTCAAATAGCTTCTGAACAGCACTTGCTTTCAAATATCTTCTGAAACATAGCTTACACAGAAACTTGCTAAGCGTCAGAAGATGTAATTAAATAATTATATTACCAGAGTCAACATCAACACTTGAGTTAAAGCAAATGGTTCTTTCATCAAAAGAACGTCTTCATTTATATTCAGCTTAGCACTTCAAGATGCTTCTGTCAGAACATTATCAGAGACAGCATCAGCATCAACACTTGCGCTAAAACAAATAGTTCTTTCATCAAAGAACTTCTTCATTTATTTTCAGCTCAGCACATCAAGATGCTTCTGTCAGAACATTATCTGAAACAGTTAAATACGTTCATCAGAGTATCAAATATATAAAATATATTTTATTGTTATCATCAAAACTCTGAGATATGATCAGAACCAATCTTGTTCTAACATTTTTTATAAGCGACTTTATATTAAATTGTATAAGACTATGTACAATAGTTCATGGATTCAACACCCTTCTTTTATTACTTTTTACACTCCACATTATCTTCTCTCTCTTCCACCTAATAATTCAACATTCATTCAACTTTTACTCACTACAATGGTTTCGTCTGATAAAATTCAACACCCTACCACACCACTTTTATTTCATATTCTTATTTTCTTTTATGTATTTGTTTTTGTGATTATATATTAATAACAATTATCGATTGAAATTAAATTAAAATAATTAAGAGTTAAATAATTTATTTTTATTTTTTCAAATTTAATAACTTATTTGAATTTTATTCTAATTTTATATTTTAGTAGATTTTGGGTATTAAAAGGGTTATTGTTGGGATCTATTTCACTAAAAAAATTATTAGAGCTACAAACAAGAGTTTACTGAATGCTAAATAGAAAATTAGAGAGAAATTTTTTGATTTTTTTGTGTCTAAATCTAATGAATCAAGTCTCTATTTATAGAGAAAAAATGATGAATTTTGGTGGAAAAATAAAAAGAAATAAGAAATTAATTTATTATAAAATAATTGGTTCCAAATAATTAAGGTGAGATAAAAATCTAAACAATAACAACAATCAATAAAATTTTACAAAATATTATATGGGACCCCCACTTCCTCGTCATTCAACATATTGAATATTTTCAATATCAATTAATCCACATCATTTTCAACACTTCATTCAACACTCCATTGCAACCATTCAACTATTGAATAATTTTTTCAACACCCTCATTATAAGTGGTCTAAGGGGTGTAAGGGCTAATTTGTTTCAGCTTTAAAAAAATGGATTTTTTCTTTGTATTTTTTAAAATAGATTTTACAAAATCATTTTTCAAAATATTACAAGTTTTTTTATATTCGTTTTTTGTAAATTGAAACACTAAGTTTGACATTCTATAACACAAACATGTGTTATTGAATATCAAAATATAGTCAAAATCGTATTTTTTTTTAAAGTTGTATTTCAAAAATGATTTTTATGAAAATCTATTTGAAATAGCTTCAAAATTAAGTGATTTTTAAAATCTTGATATCCAAAAAAAGTTTCAATAAGAAGATAAAATACCTAAAATAACATTTTAAGAATAACTATTCAAACTAAATTTTTATTTGAAACTTTTATGAAAAGTTTCTTTGTAAATCTTTTACACAAAATCATGTAACACTATAAAAATTATTTTTTTTAAAAAGCCAAAACAAACGGGCCATTAATCTAATCCAAAAATAGATTAAAGGAGAACTAATTCCCAATGCCAAAAAACCTTACAAAACTACACCCCTATCAACACCAAAGGATTGGAAAACCACGTGGCTTTATTAATATCTAAATCTTTTTTAGCTAAGATCGAAAACTAATTCCAACCAAAGTATTTAATATGATTAAGAATAACCCCAATAACTCAATCCTTGTTATTGAAAACAATATTATTTCTGCTCCACCGAATGCACCGATAAACCAATAACCAAAGAACATAGAAAAATAGGCATGAACAAGACAAGAGAGTCTACAGTAAACCTGATTCACAAAAAGTTGATCTAAACCAATAGTACCAACATCAACCACATCACCACACAAACATTACCTCCCACGCACGCTTCACACCACTGAATCTAAAGAAAAGATGATTCAAATCTTCTCCATGCTGAATACACATCGAACAAATAATGGAACTGACATCATGAATCACACATCTCCTAAAGAGCTCCACTCTGTTTGGCAAACAGTTTAGAATAAAACGCCAACCAAAAATATTTACTTTACCCGAAACTTTCGCCTTCCAAATGTTACTAAGGACCTTTAATTGCTCTTCATCCAAGACAATCCCAATAGGTTTCAAACCGTGCAACCTGCGATAACTATTTCTAATCGAGAAATCGTCATGATTACGCCATCAAACAACCTAATTAGCACAATACTGAGAGGGAGCAATATTCATCAATAAAGAATACAAACCTAATCAATCGTCTTGCAACGCCCCTGACCCTTCAAGAGTATTAACACCATACAATTTTTAAGTCACATATTTGTAAAAAAATTATAAACAAAAACAATTTGACATTATTATATATAAAATAAATTTAAATGTAACTAGATTGTTATTAAAAAATGTATATTTAATTTTTAAATGGTAAGAAAATGAAATCCAGTGACAGAATTAGTCACATTTCATAGTCAATCTCTTTTCAAGTTAGCCCATCCATTTTCAATTGAACTAACCTTCCTTAGGAAAATAATTGTTGATTTATAAATATTAACAATTTATTTACATTGATTTAAATTTTAATAACCTTATCGTTAAATATTCTTTCTTTAAAAAGTTTTCCTACTTTCCTTAATATAAGTTAATATAACTGGCAAATAAAAAGTACTCCTTTTTTCTATAAACATTTTTTAATTATTAAAAACGAGCTAATTTATAATATAAGAAAGATTAGATGTTCTAGAAACATCATTTCTACCTCTTATAATATTTTCTTACACATTCTCATTTGGAGGATAAATGTGCTTCAATTTTTTCATTTCCTACCTATTTATGTTAAAAGGTTTGGAATGAACATTTTATGGAGAAAAACAAGTGTGAGTTGAAAGTGTTGAGAAATAAGTGTGGTGAAGTCCTACATTGATTGATTAGAAAAGTGAAGACTTGATCATTTATAAGTAAGAAAACTCACATTTCTATCTCCTTAAGGTTTTGGATAAGTATATGGTGTGTCTCTCACAAAAGTACGTTGCTCATAATGAAAGGTCCGAACGTAAATGCTCTATCATGTTAACCTCTGAATTGATGACCCAATAGTGGTATCATGAGTCATTGGTTTGAGTGAAGGACCGACTCAGTTGTATTTAAACTCCTTTCTACATAGTGGTGGTGTGAGGCATGTCCTGTTAAAAAAGTCTCAACAGCAGTACAAGTGTATCTGGACGGAAAGAGCTTCCACTTGAGGGGGAGCATTGTTGATAAACTCACACTTGAGAGGAACTATTAAGAAAAACAAATGTGAGTTAGAAGTATTAAGAAATAAGTGTGGGGAAGTTCCACATTGATTAAAAAAGTGGAGACTTGAACATTTATAAGTTAGAGAACCCACACTCATGTCACCTTAAGATTTTGGGCGAGTTTGTGGTGTGTCTCTTACAAAAGGTTATTGCTCATAAAGAAAGTTCCTAACATAAATGTTTCCTTATGTTAACCCTAAAATTTATAACCTAACACTTTTTACCTATTTGTTAAATACCAAGACAGTTGCCTCACATTGTTCCAGTTTATCATTTTCTTTCTGGTTGGAAACCAACTTTCTATGTCAAATCAATCAACAATTTTCCCATCATTGATTTTTAATCTCAATCTTCCAAATCTTCAAAAACATAAGGACAATATCCTACCTTATCTACATCTCTCCTCATCCCCTACCCTTACTCATCTTCCTCATACTTTTTTCTTTAATCGATTGAAAATAGGCTACATCTCTCCTTATTCTCTACCCTCACTCATCTTTCACATCCATGTTTTTCTTCAACTGATTTTAGAAATCAACTTTGAAACCATTACAATCTTTAATTCTATAAAAGAGGTAAAACATTCTAAAAATTCCATTTTAATGGTTTTAAAACCCTAATGACTTCATTATTACTCTTACCTTATATCTCTGATCATGGCAAGGCCCTTTGAGATGGTAAAAGACACCAATGACATAAAAGAGCTTCATAAACTTGTTGTGAAAGTCCACCATAAATGATATGTATTTTGCAATATCAAGGAGCACTTATAGCTAATTTTTATTCATAAAGATGTAAGGAACTTGTATCCTTTTAACTGCTTTTATTTTTCAAAGTTATAGTATTGTGTGTTCATATTGCATCTTTCGTTGTTTTTTCTTTTTTCTTTTAATTTGTATATGTTTTTGTAATAAGACTTCCATTTTGAATCATAGCTTCAAATCTAAAAATTTCGAAATATTGCTTCAAACCATTTATCCTACTTATCAATTTCTATGAATCTTACTTTTATTTATGTTGAGGATAACCCGATTTTTGTACAATACTAGCATTCTACAATCTTTCATCTATAATTGTGGTTTTATTGTTGTAGATAGAGAAAAGATTATGGAAGAGCATTTGATGGAAGAGCTTTTTGATCAGTGTCATTGCCACCACGGCCACCAGCTTTCCCAGGACGAGTTGTCCCATAGCTAGGTTAAAAAAACTTGAGAAAGTTGTTGATGCATTAAAACACCTCAATTGGACTGTGGAAAAAATATAGTTGTGGGCTCAACTACATTTTTAACAAGGTTTTTTTCTGTCTAATCACATTTATCATATTATGTGGCTTAAATTTAAATTTCTCAATTATAAAGTAAATTTGTTCTACTTCTATGCATGGCCTAGAAGTAAATTTCTTGAGAGAAGCCTATTTGATATTGCCTATATGTTGGAATTAATTTTTCTTTCAGATTTTGTTTTTCTTCAATTTATGTTTATGAAGAACTTAATCTCAATTTATATTTTTTATAGATGAATGTTAGTGCTATTAGTTTTAATACATATTTGTTACAATCAAGTATAAAAAGTGATTATACTTTGTTATTTTGGTGTTTAAGTTTTAATTTTCTATCAGCTCACCATATTTATCTCTTAGTATTATTATACAGTTATATATTACCATAATCAACTTCCAATGTTAGAACTAATACTTTTAATAAAGTTACTTGAGTATCAGGTCGTCTTGGCTATATAGAGCTATATCATACTACTCTTGTCTTATTTGCATAGATTTACTTGAGTGTTATCTGTTTTTGTTTAGTTTACTATTTATTAGGCCCAACAAAACTTGTTTTGACTTGGCCCAAAAACATATTAATTCTGGGGCTACTTTGTACACCATATGGGGTTCTAGTTCATCACAATGAAAAATCACAAATGTTTCTAGATTATAGATATTCCTCTTTGAACATACCTATATTATACACACTTTACGCTTTCGTGAGTGAACCACCCCATTTTGTCCAAAAAATATGTCTGGAGATGCATCTCTATATCCATAATTGGATGAATCTGGAGGTGCATCTCCGAAATATCCCTTATTTAAAAAGTTAGTGACTTTTTTTGGAGATCCATCTTTGTAATACACTTTGTTTGCTTAAACAACAAATCAGTAATAGAACAAATGCAAAATTTGAAGAAAAACATATATTAACATCAAAATATGTAAAATTATATAGATAATTATTAACATACATTTAACATTATATTTCATTAGGATGTTGCAACATTATTAGAATATCTTAAATCGATCTTGTAATCGTCACATCCACTTCAATCGGCCTCTTTATTTTGTATTAGTGAAATATACTCCACATAACCCTTAAATATTCATTTATCTCTAGCTCAAACTTGTTGAACTGAATCTTCTCTTCATTGACAATCAAGGATGAACAGTACTTGAGTTTCACAATCTTTGATTGTATGAGTATTATAATAAATTATCCAATATGGATTTCAGATCTACAAGATATGTGTACTATGTGACCATAAATTCAAGTGAGGCATTCGCGTCGTTGAAATAGACAAATGCGACATGCCAATATATGTTCATTTCAGTGTGATGTAATTTTGATTAAAAAATGAGATGAGAGGCTCATATTTATACAAGTTTTAGATCAATATGGACCTTAGAAACCCATCATATTGCATATGATATTCTGGATATACATTTCCGGACATATCCTATTTTTTCTGAAATAAGGGTTTATATGGAGATACATTTCCAAATTACCCTTTGTTTGGTATTTTTTCAATAAAAAATATTTAAAGTAAGAAGGCGACTACTTTATGGAATTGTCACTCTCAGTTGGTTTGACCTTTTTAGGGACACCCTTTATTTTAACTAGCTCCAAGGATGGTTTCGAATTTTATAGTTTTTGGATATGAAATCTTCTTGGCTACTATTTGATGTGCTGCTTCATGTTATCATCAACTTTCATAAATCTCTCATGGATCAATTTCCTTTCAGTCTTGATAGATATATTTGATTTACATCCTTCATCACACCATCATCGTCAAGTCATAGCCTTTTCCAGTGAGTGTAAGTCTCATCCATATGTATCCGTGTAGCAAACTTTATTTTCTTTGCAATTAAACAAGCACATGGAAGACCATACATTTTCCTAAGTGTAAAGCCATACTTTGAACTATCTAAACTTGTTTTCTTTACTCGCTTGGATTCGTGATAAACAAAATTCAATCCTGCTTGAGAGATGTTGCCAACCTATTATGAATAAATAATGTTATCTTTGAATTAGTGTTCTAATACACTAATGCTCATATATATCTCATTATGTTATTTTCAGATCAATTGGTTCACAAAGCCCCAACCTCTACAAAAATCACATTTATTGTTTCACAAACAATTTTTCAGTGTAGCATGTGCAGATCCAACTATGATAGTTATTGTATTTCCAAACTTCCTAGCTTGATCAGTCTAAGCACATACAGTCTTCTCATTCACCTAGTCTAGAATTGTACTCTCAACATATTTCAGGAAATCTAGACATCTCGTACACATCCTCCTAAAATGCATTATAGATTCTGCATATAACTCTCTCTATGAATCTATTACGCTTTCCAACACCACATCGACTTTGACTATTTTCCCATCTTCACCCTTGAATTGTTTGGTCCCTAATACAGGTTTAAGTATGCTTTTCACATTTTTGGTTAAGTGATACCTATCAAGTAATGCATAAGATGTAGGAAACACCTTTGCTACCTAATTCATTAGTGTGGTATCACGATCAGTTACAATGACCTTTGGCACATTTTCTTGGCCCTTTAACATAGTCTTGTATACTTCCAAAGCCCATGTAACATTGTCATCTTTTTCGCTTTAAAAAATGCAAAATCGGTTGAAAAAGACATCTTCATCGTAGTAAGGCCAACAATATCCAGAATTAGAAGCCTATACTTGTTAGTTTGTATGTGAATTAATTATGATAACAGTGGAAATGTCTTGAACAACTTGATGGAATCAGAATGAGTCAAAAATATATCTCGTACAATGACTCCGTCCTAACACATTATGTACCTAGAAATATATTGATCATCATTCAGAAGCTTCAACTGTTGTTGCATTTCAGTTCTTGATCCTCTTATCTCCTTGTTGTTTACGACATGAACATTGTATATTTACTTGATATTTGAGACATTTTGAAATATTTTCCATTTCAACATTGCAAGTATGCTTTTGGGAGACACCATATTTAATGTCATGTCTAAAATAATTTCTTTCTCCTTGGGATTAAGGCGACATACAATGGGATGACCTATAACTTGTGAAACAAGTCATAATTATGTATACCAAAAACCATATTAAATTTTCATGTATTATTCGCCTTACATTATCCATGCGCCTTAAAAGCACACTCACACTTTCTCGGTCTGGTGTTATTCCGTTTCGACTTCTGAATAGGTTATTGGTATATGCCACTTCTTTCGCATCTCATTGTAACAAACACATGTCTTATATCAAAACCATTATCAGACCTCCCGATTACAATGTCGATCCCAAGTTTGGTAGCCTCTGTATGAATCCATTAGAGCATATATTCACGTTGTAAAACTCCTTGTACTGGTTAAAAAGTACAAGTGTGTGTTCCTTCTACAAGGGTAATGGGACTCATAGGCCTTTGTAGGTATATTACGTTGTATGGTAGTTAGGTCTTGCCTACGGCGGAGAGAAGCCCCGTATAATAGTGTTTTACAGTGGTTTTAGTAATCCTGCTCACGTGAGGTGAGAGGCTTTGTGGATGATCGATATGATTAGGTGTAAAATTTTGAGTGTGTGATCATATGAGTTATAATCTTGCTAAATACTATGCTTTTGGGTGTAATGTTTTGTCCCCTCTCCCCTTTAGTGGAGAGATATTTATAGAGGCCTTTTTGGGTCATGGTTTAGAGTTAGTGGGAGGTTATGCCTTAGCTCAATGACCAAGGAAGTGGTCAAGGAAAGATAGTATTCCTAGAATCATAGAGGAAATGGTTTCCCATTTGACTGACTCTTTGAATTAAGTATCTTAACCTAAGTCCAATATGGAACCTTTCTTCCCTCGTTGGGCTAACAGGTGCTAGCCAGTGGGTGATCATTTTTGAGCTAGAAGGTGCTAGCTTGTGGGCGACCAGGTCTAGCCCTGGGGGCTCTCCCCCTTCTTTGAGCTAACATGTGCTAGCCCGTGGTAACCACTTTTGGGCTAGCAAGTGCTAGCCCATGGGTGACTAGGTGCTAACCTTGGGGGCTCGCCTCCTTTTTTGGGTTCTAGCCCTCATTTGGGTGCTAGCCCTTTTTGGGCACTCCTTATTACGATCCGATAAAATATGACATTACACTCCTATTTAGATGTAAATTATTCATGAACATTTATCTCGACAACAATCAGTTTAACATCCACCTTGACATTAACATGTTTAACATCATCTTCGACGTCACATGGTTTAACATAATCCACCACTTCATTTAGTTTAACATCCACATACACTGTAGCTTTAGGGAAATATTAGGGTGCATCATATCTACAACCAAGCATATCAGAAAAACATATTTAATATTCAAATTTAAAACAATCCA